CTCTTTGGGCCCCTTGGTACCAATTGAGCATCGTTGCAACGCCACAGCCTACCTGAGTATTGTTGCTGACCATGTCCTTCCCTTTATGACCACAAAACCGTTACTAGCGTGGTGTACCTAATAAAGTGGCCGGTGAGTGTATATCCGTGTTTCTGATATGTATTTTTACACTGTAGCTGAATTATCATAGTGACTAATCCATGAAAAAAGTAATTATTTCAAAGACCTTTGTTCTGGTAAACTGATTGTCTACGCCAAATCATCGAAGACTCATCTGCTGTAGCATTTATTTCCATTTCCTCCAAATATGTTATATAAGCTAAAGTTAACACCAGATCAATATCATACATCCATATGAGCTTTGAATTTCTGTCACCTCAACAATTTGAAACTTATTTTGCTTATTTGTTATACAGTTTTTGAACATACAGGACAAATAGATGTTTTATTGTAAACACTGTCTTTAGTAACTTGTGTGGTTTTATTTTTTTATTTTTTTAAACTATACTTAGCAAAAACATGAGGAAATTTGTGTTTGATAGATTATTTATTTGTTGTAACAATGCTTCCTGGCAATAAATCTTATACCAAACACCTGAACGGCAGCAGCTGAAGGTACCAGAAGCTCAATAAAAGTGTCAATAACAGCAAAATCAGTTGTTTGGTAATGTCAGAGAAGATTTGGCAATTGATTTGTGCACAACCCACGTAACCCTCRAATGCATGTTCCTTACAAATGTGGCAGCATTTACTGTAAAAAGGAAGTTATTATCATCATTTTTATTATTTCCAAGAAGCATTGTTACATCAAAGACATAATCTACCAAACACAAATGTTCATTTTTTTTATCCCAAGGATATTTTCCCCTTTATTTTACAAAATAAACAAGACTGACACAATGGTAAAAAGTTAAGTAAAACTGTTTTGTTTGAAGTGAAAATGGACCAATCAGAACTGTCCACACAGTTTTTTTTACATGTCATCACTTTGTCACAGGTTATAGCCAAGCTGTCTGTGATATAAACGTTCTAATAATAGTTTTCATTCAGTTGTGTCTCTGTAGAAGAGTTCTCCAACATTCTCCTGTATAGAAATCTGTTGACAGCCTCATTAGTTTTGCTCAACACTTTAGCATGTTGCTTCATCATTATGTCTTGGATTATTATAAGTGTAATGTATAAATCTATTTTGAGCATTCGAAGCATCCA